TTCTGGAATCTCTGCAAAACCAGAGAAACCATTGAATAGATTATCCAAACCTGACTTGGTCTATGCTACCTCCAACAAAAAAAAAAAAAACCATTATAAACATCTGCTAATTGAATGTAATTTTACACTTCTGTTAAAGGGAAAGTTCAATCATTTACTCATGATGCCGTTTCAAACCCGACAGAATGTTCGCACTACTCTTTTCAATATGGTGAAGCTAAATGGTGACCAGATCTCCACAATGTCATAAAAACTGCCATAAAAATACAATAAAAGAAGTCAACAAATTATGTATTTGCTATGTTTCTCAGTATTTTTTTAAAGCAACAATAGGAATGTCCAAAAAAGTCAGCCAAGAACACAAACAATCAGTAGATACTGGACGTCCAAACCACACTCCATGAAAACACTTGAATCCTATTAAATGTTCCAATGACATTCTACTCTATTATGACACTCCTCACACGTACAACATGTCAGTACCCTATGGCATCCAGCAATGGTAATCAATGACAGCTGTTTGAAGGCAGAAGCTTCCCATCAGCTGGTCAAGTTCAGAGGGATTAGCTAAAAAGCAAGCTTGAGTATTTCCACCAGGCCTTCTGTAGCTCTCAGAGTGCCGAGTGCATCTAAGGACACGGTTCCTGGACCTAACCCTGAAACTGAAGCTTCGAGCTCATTCAACTTACGTGTGTGCTATTGTCTTTTCAATGACCTTGTGGTCTAATTCTCTCATTCCCAAACTTCTCCACAGTAGTTTCTGAAGAAATAGAATTAATGTAGGGCTAAAAAGGTTTTTTTGTTTCACTGCTACAAGGCTTCATTTTTTATTTTTCTTGTGCATGAAGGGGGGGGGGGGGGGGTAAGGTGCACTGCAACATCTGTCGGCTGCACTGCAACATCTGGCAGCTTTACAATATGGGCTTGAACAGCCAGTGATGAAACAGGTTCATTCCAAACACCATGTGTTCAGAAAAAATAATCAGATTCAGGTGTGCACTAGCACTTGACTGCTTTGTGTTGTTTTGATTACTAGACAAACACATAAGCTGTAACACTTTCTAACAAACGCAGCTTGGCAGGTGATGAAAGGAGGATGAATACAATGAAAACAGACGTTCTGTTGTGTTATCAAATGTCATACAGCATAACTTGCCCAAGTAAAACACACTAATACAATGCATAAATGGCGGTGGTCTATTGAAGTCCAGAAATTCTCCCATATTCGTCCATGGCGTCTCTTCCTGTATGAGTATTTGCAGTTTCTAACACATATCCTGGCGTTTAAAATGAGACAACTTTAAAATCCACCCAATTTACTTTTTTTTAATACCAGTGTTGTTACTGCAAACTAAAATTAAAAAAAGTGTTTTCGTGAAATAAAACTGCTTTAACATTTTGTTTCAGTGGGCAATATTTTACTAAAACCACTTAAACTTAAATAAAAATAAATTTAATCTGAATCGAAAATGTAAAAAAAAAAAAACTAATAAAAATCACACAATTACTCAAATTAAAATGAAAGTATAAAAATACCAATTCAAAATATAAATAAATGCCATGATAGTACATAAAAAATACTAAAATAACAAATAAATACAACATTTCTCTGCCCTTGAAATTACTTTTCAAGTGGATCATAAAAAAACCTCCAATGGACTAACTATCAAAATCCAAATTCAGTCACTTTTCACAGCTCACTGTGCACAATCCAATCCTGATGCATACAATTAAGTCCCACCTTACATTGTTTCATGTTGCATGTGTTGCATCACTAAATTTAAAAAGCATTGCAAAAGCCATTTCATATACGAGTATTACTGTAATGCCACAGAATAAAAGTCCACCGATAATCAAAACCAAACTCTTCATAGGTCCCCAGTCATCATACAGTACAAGGCGTCATGTATACACAAGGTAGCAGGCGACATCCACACCCCTACACACTCCCTTTCACCCTCTACCTCTAGATCGCTCCCTCCGTCAGCAGTGGAAATTCACTGGGAGCTGATTGTGGCAAGAGAGTGTTGGCTCAGCTGCGAGCTTTAAGAACCCATGATGTCAGACACATATTTTCCTTGGAGAGTTTCTCATCAGCTGCATTGTTCCTGGAAACCATGGTCTGTTCTCTGGGTAACAAAGAAGCCAACCCCATCTCGGTCCACCATGGTCCCGCTTGAGCCCTCATTGGCCCCTCCAGCCCTGAACCCATCATTTACTACACCACCAAACAACAGACAAGTAAAGAAAATAATCTGGTAATACGATCAATGGGGAGAGTATCTTGGAATCGTGACCGCAAATTCTCCTGGTTTCCCAAAGGATGATCAAAAGCCGCTTTTTAACGTCTTCGGAAAATGAAAATGTATGGTTTGTGAGGACGTGAGTAACACAATAGGACAGAGTAACATGCCCGGTCTTTTTAGAATCCTTTGGGAAATATGGTGATGATACTGGTGATGTCATCAAATCAAGTGTCCCTGTTGACCACAAGACGCATTTGACCACTTTACAGCGTGCCCCTTGATATGAGAAGCAAAGGAACTAAATGTCCCCATGAGATGCTCCCTGACAAAGTGCTTGGTTCATCGGTCCCACTGCTTAAATCTTTCAGTCCATTTCCGCAGTTCTTTTTTTGTTGTTGCATTATTTAAACTCATCACACAGCTCCCAGTTCTCTTGAAGAATTAATGCTTTTCCTCAAAAGAGAAGCATCCACATGTGATTTTTAATTCAAACCGGCAATGAGTGGAATATCTTTGAGTCAGCAGCCATAATTGTATGTAACTTTATCCCACATGAAAAAAAACAACCTGTCATTCAGACCACTCTCTCTTTTCCATTACTGGGTATTTCAGCTGCCAATTCTGGAGTGGATACCTGATCCATCAGTGGCAAAGACCATGAGGTGAGAGATGGGGCGAGATGGGGCCAAATCCTGGGCCAAAAGTGTGATTCTGTGTAACAGGAAAAAAAAAAAGCCAAAATTCTGATGTTGTTATATA